CTAGCAAGCTGTGTTGACGCAGATCCATGAGATTGGTGGCCTCAGCTTCACAAGTAGCTTATATGACATATTTCCATATGCAACTGATCTTGCAAGAATTTCCAGTCTTGGTGGTGGAGAACATGTCACCTGTCACTCCCGACTTCACCAACTCTAGCCCCTTTGGTCCCCTCGCCTTCACGACACCACGTGCAGTGAAGGACTTGGTTGCTGCAAGTAATCAGTTGGTATTAGTTGTCCTTACTGCACCTCAGAACTCCCCGATTCCAATGGGAGCGGGGTGGGGCATCCCCTGGGGGATCCCCTAAGAAATATCTACGCAGTAAGCGACATTAGCTTCTAGACTAATGCGTAATTAAGAGGAGACACTGGTACGTACTTTTCTTTAGGCGTTCAACTGCTCAATGACCTACAGTTCAACTTACGTTTCCTCCAGAAAGCCGGTCGTCGATACTGAGAGAAAGAAAGGTATTGTCTTAACTGTAAGGGGGCCTGTATAGGGGCGAAACCCCCAGGGTACTTCGGATTCCCTTTTAGATACTGGGTTCCCAGGTCTAAAAATGAGTAGACACATGGGGTGTCCCCACTACTTTTTCTTTTGGAAATTTGCTTTTTCCAAGGGATCTGGTTTTAGAAGAGCGTCCAGCGACTTTTAAAACCCACACCCCAAAGATAAAGCAGGGGGTTGCCTTTTCCCTCTTAGCTAATATAACCTAACGTTCACCACTTTAAAAACCCTAAGCCTACCTATTTTAATATCTAAGGTTACCTAAATTATTTTAAAATGTTAGTTAGTAAAAACTGTATAAACCACCTAGCCCCTTCCTTGAAATTTTGATGTATGAATAAACCCCTTGTCAACTATTTGGGGTTTTTGTGTTTATAGGACAAGGGCTTAAAATTTTGGCTCTTTTAACCCTTTGTGGAATTTTTTGACGAATAATTTTTCCAAAATTATCACCTAACTTTAAAATAAAAAATTTTAAAGCCCCATTTTGTTACTTCTCCTTTTTGATGCCATAAAATCTTAAATTTTCCAAAAAATTTTTTTTTTTTTTTTCATCTTTTTATTTTTTAGTTTTCCCTTATTGGGTTATACCAAAGGTGAAATTTTCCAAGAAGTTTTTCCTGAATTTTTTCTTTTTTTTCCTCTAAAAATCTCCATAATTTGCCTCTTTCCCAATAATCTACAGTTTTTTCAACACTTGCATAAGAGGCCCAAAAATTTCTTTCATCAAATTTTGTTAAACTTTTTTCCGTCTTCCGGGAATGTTTCGGGTAATTTTAAAAAATTCTCAGTGGCGAAATCTCCCCGAAAAAGGTGCCCAAAAATTCAAAAACGATGACAAAATAAAATTTTCCTAAAGTAAAGGGTCTAAATTTGGCAATTTTATCAAAAAAAATTTATCTGCAAAAAAAACGGGGGAAATTTTTTTTAAAGTTAAATCCATTGAATATTATGCAGTTTCCCTCCTAAACACCCTTTCAAAACGTAATAGTTAATTTTATCTTAAGCCCGGGATAGTACCATCTTAGGACCAGGAAGTCCCTTATTTTAAAGGACCAGCATAGTGCCTTTCCTTAAAACCCAAAGGATAGTACCTACTTGGGCCCCAGGATAGTACAACTTAGGACCAATAGAAACCTATTTTAAAGCCCAAGGATATACCGATTTTAAGGACCAGGATAGTCCCCCCCAAACTTACGCCCAAATATCCCCAATTTTAGGACCAGGATAGTACCTTGGGAAACCAAGGATAGTCCCCAAAGGAAACCAGGAATATTATCTATCTTAGGACCAGGAAAAAGTACCTTTTTGACCGGGATAGTCCCATATTCTTAGGCCCAAAGGATATCCCTATCTTAGGACCAGTTTAGTACCTAACTTGGGGACCGGGATATACCTATCTTGGGAACTGGGGTAGTTCCTATCTTAGACTAGAAGAAACCCATCTTAGGACCAGGATAGACCTATCTTGGGACCGGGATAGTACATAACTTGGGGAACCAAAGGATAGTCCCAAAACCCTTTAGGACAAAGATAGTACCAAATTTGGGACTAGGATATTTTTCCTTTAATTTTTGGACCAGGTTAAGTCCCTATCTTAGGACCTGGGTAGTGCCTAACTTGGGAAAAGGGATATTTCCCCTATCTTAAAAACAGCGTAGTTCCTACCCTTAGGATTAGGATAGTCCCCTATCTTAGGACCAAGATAGTACCTATCTTAGGACCAGGATAGTACTTAACATAGGCCCCCGGGAAAGTACCAAATCTAGGACTAACTAAAAAACCCAAACTTAGGACTAGAAAAGTTCCAATCTTAGGCCCAAAGGATAGCACCTCCCTTTATGACTAAAAATAGACCTATCTTAAACTGGGGATTTTTTCCAATCTTGGGGCCAGGATAGAAACCCTATCTTGGGACCAGGATAGTACCTTTTCTTAGGACCAGGATATACCTATCTTAGGACCAGGATGGGTCCCCTATTTTAGGCCCAAAGGATAGTACCTATCTTAGGACTGGGAAATAGAACTATTTAGGAAAAGGATAGAAACTACCTTAGGACGGGATATTTACCTATCTTGGGGACCAGTATAGCCCCTACCCTTAGGACCATATAGTCCCATCTTGGGCCCTGGGTATTACCTATCTTAGGACTAGGATGAAACCAATTTTAGAACCAAAGAATAGTATTTTATCTTGGGACCAGGATAGTACCTATTTTAGGACCGGGAAAATTTCCTATCTTAGGACCAGGATAGACCAATTTTAAGGCCCAGATTATTTACCTATCTTGGGCCAAGGATAAACCTATCTTAGGACTAGGATAGTCTATCTTGGGACCGGGATAGTATCTATCTTAGGACTAGGATAGTACCTATTTTGGGACCATTATAGTACCTATTTTAAAGGCCCCATATATTACCTTTTCCTTAGGACTGGGAAATAGTACCTATCTTAAAACCCAGGATAGTATCTATTTTAGGACCGGGATAGAAACCCTATCTTGGGACCAGGAGAGTCCCTAACTTAGGACCATGATAATATCTCCCTTGGACGAGGAAATACCTATCTTAAACTGGGATTTTTCCAAACTTAGGCCCTTTGGGATAATAGCTATCTTAGGCCCAAAGATAGTCCCTATCGGGACCAGGAGAGCCCTATCTTTGGACAAAAATAGTCCCTATTTTAAAGGACCAGGAAAGAAACCTAACTTAGAACCATGATAAAAACCCTATCATGGGACAAGGAAGACCTATCTTAGGACCGGGGAATAGTACCTATCTTAGGACTAGGATAGTACCTATCAAAGGATTTAGGATAAAACTATTAATTTTTAGTTTGTGATGCAGAAAAAACCAGAAAAAAAAAACCTTGGAATGGAAAGACATCTCTGATGAAACTGGAGAATGACTCTTCTAAACGGTTTTCCAAATTTTTACCTCTGTTGTTGTTTCCTGAACATAATTTTTTATATTTGCCTTTTAAAGACTTTAATCCTAATTTAAAACCATTTTTAATTAAAAAAATAGGATATTTTTTATTCAAAAACTAAAGAATATTTTTTTTGATTATCTTCAAAAATATTATTGACGAAAAACAAACATTGGTGGGAAATTAAAAATTTTTGCTGAAAAATTAAAAAAAAAAAAAGGGAAACGCTGGAAAAAAAAACAAAAGTAAAGAATGCTTTTTTCCCAAAGGGCTTCAAAACCCTTCCCCCGTGATGGGTCTTATTGCAACACACTTGTCACCCCACTTTTAAAGGGGATCATTTTAAAATTTTCAGTTTATTATTTAAAAATTTGGGCATTCTCCTTTTAATTTCCAATAAAAAAAGGGGAATGTTTATTCTTGGGCAAAATCAAAAACTAAAAAGTTGGTCGGTCTTAATATAAAACATTTTTTTATTAATCTGCGTTTTTCCCCTGGGGCTTAATTTTTGTTATTTTTCTCTTTTCCAATTTAGTCCCAAAATTTCATTTTTTTTTTAAACAGAATCAAAAAATTTTTTTTAAAAAAATAGTAGAGAACTTTAAAAAAGGATATAAATCATTAAAAGAAAACGGGAAAAAAAACCTTTTTTTTGTGGGTTTTTTAAATTTAAAGAGGGAAAACTCAGTTTTTTAGAACATTACCACCACTTTTCCCTTTTTCCTTTTTTAAACCATACCACGGGGGGGAAAAGAACCCCCCCCATCAGAGAGTCTCAAAACCCAAACCGTCGCGTTTTCCACTGGAAACCCGCTAGCCCCCAAAAAGAAATTTATCCCAAAAAAAGGGGGGTACAATTTTCTACACCATAGGAAGGTTTGCATAGTACCACCGTGACCACAAAGCAATTTTTTACAGACAATCTCCAGCTAGCGGGGGCCGTGACGAACTCTAGCTCAAATCCCCTCAAAGCCGTCAACATGACTCCCCGAAATCGAATTACAAAGATTGCAAACCAACCACGGGGGGGATAGAGCCCAGATCATAGAGGGTCACAGTGGTGCCCCATCTAAACCCCTTTCCCGTGGTGTAAATATACCTAGTTGGACGATATTATTGGGGCTAGCTGGTCCAGTGGCTAACGCGACGGTCTGGAGTTTTGAGACTCTCTGATCGCGGGTTCTATCCCCGCCCGTGGTATGGTTTGTTTACAATCATGTCATTACGATTTCGTGAGTCATGTTCCTTTCTAAACTTTTCGCTCATTACTCGAGAATGTCTCGTTCGATCACCTCCAAATTATCTACTGTTGCCAAATATTGTGTGGTAGGCTGACACGGGTCCTTCTGACGGCCTTCAGAGCGTCAACACTTGTGCGTCCTATTTTGAAGATGGTTGGTATATTTAAAGGAGTATGTAGATACCATTTTGTCACTTTTAATCTAGAAATGGTAGAGTATTACTTTCCCTTATTGCATTATTTTGCCTTGATGTTAGTAAGGAGCTCTAGATTAAACTGTTCTTGAGTTGTGTCACTGATATGTATTTTGTTAACAATGTCAGGACCGGTGACGCCACAAGAGCTGGAGCCTCGTGTGGTGAACGCCACATGTGCCCGTCTGTACCAGCGACTGTGGAAGCTGCTGGTGAGGGACGCCAGACCTGATCCTCTGAGTAACACACCTACAAGAAAGGAGGTTCAAGGAAACACTCAGTCTCAAGCTCAAGGAAAATGACCGGAACAGAGGCTTGATTTATATCCTATTTTGTCTTCAAACATTTATAAACAGAAGAAATATTATTTAGAGGATAGGTGGAAAGTGCTGGAGATCATCTTTGTAATCGTTTACCAGCTGGCATGGTATAAAACTTCTCACAGGTCATTTTAGTCATGTCAACAGGTCGTCATATGACTCGTGCCTCAACTTTGTTTTAATTAAGAATATACTCCTTTACTTACCTTTCACACAGTGTATATAACTATGACATGTTCTCTAATAAAGTCTTGCTTATACTTCAGCTAGAGTTATTTTTCCTTAAATTTTGTGGTAACAGAATGTTCGCTAGTGGATTAGCACAGAGCAGAGAGGATGGATGACATTTCTAGAATGGATGTGGATAAAGAAACAACAGAGTTAAACTGCAAAACGGGTCGAGCAATACGAGGGAAGGAGAAACTATCCAAAGTGAAACTAAAGTACTTTTGAATGTGGGTTACTAGATTTTATAACCCATAGAGTCGTCAGTATAAGGTTCGATCATTTTTTTAAACTCACCAGCCGTCATCCACCGAGATAAGTTGACTGAAAAAGAAGAAACACTTTCACCATCACTCACCACTCCATCAGTCTTACCAAAGGTTCGCTGTTACTTTATTTAATATGTCCATCCAAACTGAAATATCCCCACCAGCACTTCAGAGTGCACCACTGTACTACCCACCAGCACTTCAGAGTGCACCACTGTACTACCCACCAGCACTTCAGAGTGCACCACTGTACTACCCACCAGCACTTCAGAGTGCACCACTGTACTACCCACCAGCACTTCAGAGTGCACCACTGTACTACCCACCAGCACTTCAGAGTGTACCACTGTACTACCCACCAGCATCTCAGAGTGTACCACTGTACTAACCCACCAGCACTTCAGAGTGTAAACCCCTGTACACCCACCCCACTTCAGAGTGTACCACTGTACTACCCACCAGCACTTCAGAGTGTAACCACTGTACTCACCCACCAGCACTTCAGAGTGTACCACTGTACTACCCACCAGCACTTCAGAGTGTACCACTGTACTACCCACCAGCACTTCAGAGTGTACCACTGTACTACCCACCAGCACTTCAGAGTGTACCACTGTACTACCCACCAGCACTTCAGAGTGTACCACTGTACTACCCACCAGCACTTCAGAGTGCACCACTGTACTACCCACCAGCACTTCAGAGTGTACCACTGTACTACCCACCAGCACTTCAGAGTGTACCACTGTACAACCCACCAGCACTTCAGAGTGTACCACTGTACTAACCCCACCAGCACTTCAGAGTGCAAGCACTGTACTACCCACCAGCACTTCAGAGTGTACCACTGTACTACCCACCAGCACTTCAGAGTGTACCACTGTACTACCCACCAGCACTTCAGAGTGTACCACTGTACTACCCACCAGCACTTCAGAGTGTACCACTGTACTACCCACCCACACTTCAGAGTGTACCACTGTACTACCCACCAGCACTTCAGAGTGTACCACTGTACTACCCACCAGCACTTCAGAGTGTACCACTGTACTACCCACCAGCACTTCAGAGTGTACCACTGTACTACCCACCACACTTCAGAGTGTAGCACTGTACTACCCACCAGCACTTCAGAGTGCACCACTGTACTACCCACCAGCACTTCAGAGTGTACCACTGTACTACCCACCAGCACTTCAGAGTGTACCACTGTACTACCCACCAGCACTTCAGAGTGTAAGCACTGTACTACCCACCAGCACTTCAGAGTGCACCACTGTACTACCCACCAGCACTTCAGAGTGTACCACTGTACTACCCACCAGCACTTCAGAGTGTACCACTGTACTACCCACCCGCACTTCAGAGTGTAGCACTGTACTACCCACCAGCACTTCAGAGTGTACCACTGTACTACCCACCCACACTTCAGAGTGTACCACTGTACTACCCACCCACACTTCAGAGTGTACCACTGTACTACCCACCAGCACTTCAGAGTGTACCACTGTACTACCCACCAGCACTTCAGAGTGTAAGCACTGTACTACCCACCAGCACTTCAGAGTGTACCACTGTACTACCCACCAGCACTTCAGAGTGTACCACTGTACTACCCACCAGCACTTCAGAGTGTACCACTGTACTACCCACCAGCACTTCAGAGTGCACCACTGTACTACCCACCAGCACTTCAGAGTGTACCACTGTACTACCCACCAGCACTTCAGAGTGCACCACTGTACTACCCACCAGCACTTCAGAGTGCAAGCACTGTACTACCCACCAGCACTTCAGAGTGTACCACTGTACTACCCACCAGCACTTCAGAGTGTACACTGTACTACCCACCAGCACTTCAGAGTGACCACTGTACTACCCACCAGCACTTCAGAGTGTACCACTGTACTACCCACCAGCACTTCAGAGTGCACCACTGTACTAACCCACCAGCACTTCAGAGTGTACCACTGTACTACCCACCAGCACTTCAGAGTGTACCACTGTACTACCCACCAGCACTTCAGAGTGTACCACTGTACTACCCACCAGCACTTCAGAGTGTACCACTGTACTAAACCCACCAGCACTTCAGAGTGTGCCACTGTACTACCCACCAGCACTTCAGAGTGTACCACTGTACTACCCACCAGCACTTCAGAGTGCACCACTGTACTACCCACCAGCACTTCAGAGTGTACCACTGTACTACCCACCAGCACTTCAGAGTGCAAGCACTGTACTACCCACCAGCACTTCAGAGTGCAACCACTGTACTACCCACCAGCACTTCAGAGTGTAGCACTGTACTACCCACCAGCACTTCAGAGTGTACCACTGTACTACCCACCAGCACTTCAGAGTGTAGCACTGTACTACCCACCCGCACTTCAGAGTGTAGCACTGTACTACCCACCACACTTCAGAGTGACCCCTGTACTACCCACCAGCACTTCAGAGTGCAAACCCCTGTACTTACCCCCCCACACTTCAGAGTGTAGCACTGTACTACCCACCAGCACTTCAGAGTGTACCACTGTACTACCCACCAGCACTTCAGAGTGTACCACTGTACTACCCACCAGCACTTCAGAGTGCAAGCACTGTACTTCCCACCCACACTTCAGAGTGCAAGCACTGTACTTCCCACCCACACTTCAGAGTGCAAGCACTGTACTTCCCACCAACACTTCAGAGTGCAAACGCTGTACTTCCCACCCACACTTCAGAGTGCAAGCACTGTACTACCCACCAGCACTTCAGAGTGCAAGCACTGTACTTCCCACCAGCACTTCAGAGTGCAAGCACTGTACTTCCCACCAGCACTTCAGAGTGCAAGCACTGTACTTCCCACCAGCACTTCAGAGTGCAAGCACTGTACTTCCCACCCACACTTCAGAGTGCAAGCACTGTACTTCCCACCACACTTCAGAGTGCAAGCACTGTACTTTCCCACCACACTTCAGAGTGAAGCACTGTACTTCCCACCACACTTCAGAGTGCAAGCACTGTACTCCCACCCACACTTCAGAGTGCAAGCACTGTACTTCCCACCACACTTCAGAGTGCAAGCACTGTACTTCCCACCAGCATTTCAGAGTGCAAGCACTGTACTTCCCACCCACACTTCAGAGTGCAAGCACTGTACTTCCCACCCACACTTCAGAGTGCAAGCACTGTACTTCCCACCCACACTTCAGAGTGCAAGCACTGTACTTCCCACCAGCACTTCAGAGGCAAGCACTGTACTTCCACCCACACTTCAGAGTGCAAGCACTGTACTTCCCACCACACTTCAAGTGCAAGCACGTACTCCCCCGCACTTTAAGTGAAACACTTTTCTCCCACAGCAC